TACAATCAGTTAGTGTACATTTGGAAATGCAAACAATTGATTCACCTCAAAGTAATCACTCTGTTATCATGGAAACAAGACAGAACACCTGCAGTGATGAAAGGGACAGAGCTGTAATATATGATGCTGAAGTCGTTCATGCAACATTTAATAAAATGTGTATTTATGTCGAGCTTCCACCAGTAAATGTGTGTCTTGATTAATAACACACTTAATGTGCACCACCTTCTCTGCAACAGAGACTTTGTCAAACCTATCCTGATGTCCAACATGTCCAACTGTTAGAAAAATGTACTATGCTTCAGTATATTAAACTTTTGCAAGCCTGTCTATAAATATAAAGAAGAAGCGTTTAACACTCTCAGTGAACTTATAAAACAGGAACTGGTGCATAGAGATGGACAGGAAACGCCTACAGGTGAAAGCTAGATAACAGTTCCTGTCTGTATTTGAGTGGCATGTTAATAATATTACTTGTCCCAGTAACTAAGTAGTGTAACTAATTACTTTTCTAAAACAGTAAAATTATTACAGTTACTAATCCAAGTAACGCTGTTACTGAACGCACCATCCTTGACTTGAATCCACGACTGTGCTGCAGCTCAGCGGGACCGGACTTTGTTGTTCATGTCGCTGAAGGAAGAAAGGAGAATGAGGGAGAGAGGCGTTCTTTCCACAGCTGTAAGTAGCTGCTGCCATTATTGTGTCACAGTCTAAGATGCAAAGAACATTGTGGTCTAGTGTAAACTCTGTGCGACCAGCAAAAAGCTTTCTACAGCGAACATTTCTACATCTGATCTATTGAAGCGTCTGCTGAAGCAGCACAGCGACGTGAAACTTACAGAAAAAACACACTCCTTGCTGCTGTTGAATATGATATTAGTTAAAAAGTCGGCAGAGACGCTTTGTTTGGGGGTGAAGGGGGGGTGGTAGTGAAAGCTGTGTTTCCCATAATTAGCCTATAATTTGGATAATTATCAACACAGACCGCCACATATTGATTTTATAATAATTTTTTTATTAGGTGTATTTAAAATCATTTTTGATTGAGGAGCATATATTCGTGCAGCACCTCCAGGCTCGCTCGCTCTTTCTCTCTCTCTCATGAACACCGCTTCTCAAACCTGTTGGAATATAACCCCACCCTGTCATTCTGTGGGAAACACTGGACAGTATATAGAAACGTAACTAGTTACTTTTATCACCCAGTAATAAGTAAAGTAATCATATTTTTTAAGGAGTAATAAGTAACTAGTGATATATTACAATTTCTGAGTAAGTTGCCCAACACTGCATGTGACCTAGATAAAGATTCATCTTCCTTGTAGGAAGCCGTCATTGAACAGGGGAGGGGGTCTACGCCACCACTTATCCCCCACTTACAATGCTGTCCTTTCATCACTTCCCAGGAAACTCAACAGACGTAACCTATTGGCCTCAGGTGAAGATACCAACGATGGTCGTTCAGTCTCGGCCACAGGTAGTCTTAACGACTGTAACGACTGTCGTCACAGCAACAAGGAACACTAACGAACCAGCGGTATCGATGACCCGGGCCAACGACCCCACTGAGGTTAAATAGCTGAGTTTCCCTGCCAGTCAGTCAGAACTGAAGAAGTCCTTTGGATGAGGGACGAAACGTCTTCCAGTATCTTCAACCAAGTCCAGTTGCCCTTGATTTTAACCTTCGTTGGATAACTATGACCTGGATGACTGAGAATCTTCATAGACATTGCTTTATGAAGTTAATTTAGAACAATGTTTGGACACTTTGAGTGTGTTAAATAAATTAATTTCATTTTTGAAGTGACGACAGGTTTTTTTAAAGTGAGGTGTCTTTTAATGTGGAAACGCCGACACAGCCGAGCTGAAAGAATAAGGCTGATATTTTCATACAGCTCATAAGAACACTTTAAATCAACACAATATTATAGACCACGCCTGTTCATTTAGGCATTCACACTGTCTGCGATTTTCTGTCTCCCTGCATGTGTCAGATGCAGGTGTGCTACTGTCGCATTTCTGTAGTGTTACAGTTTAATCCTCGTTCATAGAATATGACGCTCTGCTGCCAGTGGACTTGTTCATGTCTGTGATTGGTCATCTGCTGCTAACACCGCCTCTTGAACGTGAACGTGCTCCCGGCTGGATTGGGAAACCCTGGGTTGACTTACCGAGTTGATAACCAGCTTCTTGGTACCGCTTATTCCGATCGCGATTGTTAGGGTTAGTTAAGCCAGATAACGAAAACATATCCTGGGTATGTTGAACTCGCTTCGCGGTGCAGGCCCCTGGCTACAGATTACGGTTGTTGTCATGATGTTGTCATACAGCCACTTTCCTACTGCTTTTTGAAATGGTCGGTGCCCCACCACCATTTTTACATATAAATATGACACTGGTCAAATTGGTTGTTAAAAAGTGGGATATTGCAAGAATACCTATCCTTGTTAACAAATGTTAACAAATAATTACACAACTCTATACAGACACACGTTGCATATTTCAATTTGAATTTAAAGAAAAATATTTATGCTCCATGATGTCTGTAATCTTGAGTTGACTTGTTCCCAGTAAATGTTTTGTTCCTCCCCATCACTGCACTCCTACAAATAAATGCTTTTTAAGGAAAAGGTTAACTTGCATATTTAAAGAACAATTAATTGCCTAACACATATACAGATAACACATCAAACAGGATTTTTATGGAATGTTAACTGAACTGGTTTTAGTATAAGAATCCAAAGGATATCAGTCTGTGATTCCTTAACTCACATTTTTATGTAGTATTCAACTAGTCTATATTGCATAATAGAAACCCTGAAATTCAGTTATGGCTTTTGGTTTAGTGTGCCACCCCCTGGATTTTCAGTGGCCCCATCTGGCCACCCCTGGGAAAATTTTCTGAGCTAATCAGTGTTAGCTTCCATGCAACATTAACACTTGAGCTGACCTGTCTTCACCTCAGCTGGTGCAAAAAGCTTTGTTTCTTTGCATCGATTACATTTGGCATTGCTTTCAGTCTGAACAAAGAAGGATTCCAAATCATCTTCAGTAATAGAAAACAAAAATGTAGATAGCAGGACTACTACTTTACATGGAATATTTGCACTCCTAACATCTTTTGGGGCAAAACCTTCAATCACAGGAACAATGAGAGAAAGCAGATTAATAAGTTTTATTACCTGAGTTGTGAATTCCCAATATATTTATCCTTAAGAAATATTCACAGACAAAGACTTGGTGATAAAGGAAAATTTATTTATAACTAAATGTTTTTAACAAGTGAATAAAGCCAGTAAATTAGGTTTTAATAAGGGTTATATGACGTGTTGACAAAAAAAACTCCGGAGATGACGTGGGCAGACCATGGAATAATAATGCAGACTTGTATCTGCTTTCCTTGTATCTTCTTTCCTTGTATCTGCTTCCCCTTGGACATATTATCCACAAACATGGCATTTCTTTTCATATTTATGCTGATGACACACAAATATACTTGCCCGTCAGATCCACAGACCCTGGAATGCTGAGTTCACTTAACAACTGCCTTTGTGAAGTTAAAAAATGGATGTCAAATAATTTCCTCCAGCTGAACTCAGACTAAACAGAAATCCTGGTCATCGGGTCCCAGCAGATGGCAGTATTTGATCAAATACTGCCATCTGCTGGTTCCCTAGTAAATCACATTAAGCCTGTGGCAAAGAACCTTGGTGTTTGGTTTGATAGTAATTTAAATTTCGAGCAGCACACCACAAAACTTGTTCAACCATGTTTTTATCAACTTAGAAATATAGAAAAAATTCGATCTATGTTAACTTTTAAGGACACCGAGACCATTTTACACGCCTTCATCTCATCACGCCTGGATTATTGCAACAGCCTTTTCACCCGTTTAACCCAAAAATCTATTGATCGTCTCCAGACTGTCCAGAACTCAGCTGCCAGGCTTTTAACCAGAACAAAGAAATATGACCACATTACTCCTATTTTAGCTTCATTACACTGGCTCCCAGTATGTTTTAGAATTGACTTTAAAATTCTATTGATCACTTTTAAAGCTCTTCATGGCCTCTCGCCTTGTTATATTTCTGACCTTTTAGTCCCATACGCACCAGCACGTACCTTGAGATCCTCGGGCAGAGGTCTGTTGTCTGTTCCAGAGTCTCAACTGAAAACTAAAGGGGACAGAGCGTTTGCTGTCAGGGCCCCGAGGCTCTGGAACAGCCTGCCCGAGGAAACCAGGTCGGCTGAGTCAGTGAACTCTTTTAAGTCCCTTCTTAAAACATACTTTTATAGGAGAGCCTTTCCCGATCTTATTTGACTTTATTTTATCCCTTTTATTTTATTCTGTTTTACTTATTTTATATTTTAGTCTTTTCAATGTTTTCTTGCTTTTATCTTGTATTGTTTTTGCATTATTGTCTTTTGGGTATTATTGTCTTTACACTTGTGCTCTACAAATAAAGATTATTATTATTATTATTATTATTGCAGAAGAGTAATGTAGTGGTAAAGAAACATAGGTGAAAGAGGCCGGACCACCATCAGATAGGGTGCGTATTGGAGGAGGAGGAAAGGTTTTCACACTCAAACTGTTTTACGCCTCGTAACTAATCATCTTTCTTTGTGGTTTCTTCTACGTTATGGAACTATATAATTTAACATGTCTCGCACAGTCACATCATAAAAACAGGGTTGACGTTGAGCATCCATCACAGACATGTTATATAAACCTAACTTAGATTTCAAACACAGTTAATAATAAGCTTCCTAACCACTTAACTATCAGAAGCATAAATTCAACACTACTAATAAAATGGTAGCAGATTCAACACTTAGTTTGATCACACATATACTAACTCATCTTACACAAAACAACAGAAACGCAGTGATGACAAGAATCCCATTAACTGTTAAACTTCTAACTTCTGATTACCTAAAACTTTATGCGAAAATCATCAGAATTGCGCCAACCATCAAAAAGCAATCAAGTGAGATTATTACTGAACCAGTGACTGTACATTTATTTACACTTGGGTTAATAAAACTCATCTCAAGGATTTATGTCCTTCTGCTGAGTTTCATATCCGACTTCCCCAGAGAGAGAGTGGTCATCTGGGACGTCCCAGAGAGATCAGAGAGGAAGGGCTGACGGCTCCTAAAGTCCCTACATTTTATTTACCAAGTGATCTTATGAGCACTTGGCAGATTAATGGACGGTAAGGAAGCACTTCTTCCTCGCAGTGCTAGTGGAATAGTGCCAGCAGCTGAACGGTGAGTTTTAAATATTATTTTACAGGTTTGAGATCTGAAGTGTATTAAAAATGTACAAAAATTCAGTTCATTGACACTTGTTTACGAATTCATAATAACATCAGTAGAAACAGTTAACACATTAACGCACATGCTGCTCAGAATATAAAGTTACTGTTGTCTATCTCTCAGTTTAAAGAGAAGCTCACAATATAACACAGCATGAGGAGGAGGCAGCAGGCAAGAGCTAGCTTGGCTCTGAAAAATGTTTACAGCGATGCAGCGTGACCGCATTGGTGCCGTTTCAGGGTTTTACTGTGAGTAAATCTTTTCCCACGCTGTTCACACCGCTACGCTTTCTCTCCCGTGTGAATGCGTTGGTGAATTTTTAGCTCCAATGATCGGATAAAATATTTCCCACACTGCTCACACCAGTATGGTTTCTCCCCCATGTGAAGATATTTGTGACTTTTTAGATTACTTAAAGTAGAGAAAACCTTCCCACACTGGTCACAGCTGTACGGTTTCTCTCCCGTGTGAATGCGTTGGTGAATTTTTAGCTCCAATGATCGGGTAAAATTTTTCCCACACTGCTCACACCAGTATGGTTTCTCCCCCATGTGAACATATTTGTGACTTTTTAGATTACTTAAAGTAGAGAAAACCTTCCCACACTGGTCACAGCTGTACGGTTTCTCTCCAGTGTGAACTCTCCGATGATTCTTTGACTGTCCAGATGTTCTGAAGGATTTGTCACAGTGGTGTTGTTTAAGTCCATCTCTTCCTCTCTGTTTCTATAATAACAGACATACAGAGAGAAAGACGGTGAGTGAGATGTAATGGTGCAGCAAGTATGGAGGATAAATCCAGGTCAGTCTCTCTGTGTGACACAGACAGAGAAAGTGAACCCACAAGGTTCAGAAGGCAGAATTCATATTTAGAGATAAGGTTTAGTTAAGATATGATTACAGCTGTAGAATATGTGTGTTTGTACTTTTGTTGTCATATTTTCATGCAGATAAGAGGTACTTTGATTTAGCGTTAAAGCAAACACACACACACACACACACACGTACTGACTTCTGAAAAACTAGAAACCAGATGTTTTTCTGTTAGGTTGGGTTTCCTTGGACTCTGGCCAACATGTGAGGAACAGGATGAAGCGATCTCGTTGGAATGTGCACTAAACTACTTTTCCGGCCAAGTTCTCAGAGTGATTCATTGTAGGTTCAGAGATACTGACTGGACTGGACCAAATATGGAGAGGACGTCCTGGAAAGGGAGGGCAGTACAGAGTGTGCTTTGGGAGGACTGTGAAGAGCTTGATTTTCAGGACTGCATCACTTCATTCTGCAGAACAGTCAAATAAAGAAATCTTAAAGCTGAGTCTGTGAATTATTAAATATTCTGAATAAACACTAAAGAGAAAAATTCAGCTCCAAGATACTGCTACAACTTGGGGCTGCAGTCCTTTAACTACTAAACCTTCCAAATGTTTGTCTCAGTTTGCTTCTCTCTGTCTTTCTGTATCTTTCCTTCCTTCTTCTGCCCTCCTTTCCATGTAGCCCTCACTATGTTTTGCTCTCTATAGAAAACACACTGACAGTACAGATTTAGCGCCTCAGATTTGTTTACAAAGTCCCAGCAGGTCCAGCCGGACTCACATCTTTTCCTAGTAGTCCTACGATGGGGAAGTTTCTTTTTTGGATTTTCAGACAGAGTTAAAACTTAAAATGTCTGACAGCTTTCACAACAAGAGGAGCAAAAGCTCAGCAGTAAGTTAACTTTCCCTTAAGTGCAGAACTGGAAGCTAACTTCAGCGTCCTGACTCAACGGCGATCTGGACTCAACAAATCCCTCATCCTGTTGCCCGTACAGGCTGGATGTCAGCACACACACAGATTAAAAACCACCAGGGCACAAATCAGAGCGACCGCATGAACTTCTGCAGTAACATCCCCAGTTCATGTGGCAACCAATTAAACTGTCACACTGGTCCCAGAGCCAGGTACTCACCCCGGTGCTGACTTCCTGGCTGGTCCGGTCCCGGTCGCTCTTAGCAGGAACTCTCTGTCGGACGCTCATCCTCTTAGACGCTGCTGCCGCCATCTCGTCTCTATCAGACTGGACCCAGGAGCATGCGCTGCTCGTGCAGACTCTGTAGTGATGGGAGTACCAGCTGTTTGAAGGGGGGCGGATCTTTAGAGGTACAGAGCTACTGAAATGCAGTTTGCATCTAACCAGGAGTGCAGAAATAGTGTTTTTACAGATGAGTGCAGTCCTGCTATATCTTACAACATGTAGAGGAGTTACACAGATATTATAGAGAGAAGAGAAGAGGACAGGGTTAGAGAATGGAGAGTGCAAATCTGGGTTTCTGGTAAGGATGCAGAGTAGAACATTTGTTGGTTAATGTACAGTAACATAATTAAACAGTGTATCAATCAATATATTTGTCCCCGTAGGAAAGTTAGTTTGCAGCACAATCACATGGCATTTCATCACACGGCACAGAGACAACCAGCAGGCAGACTGAAACACACACCCCTCACCTTGCTACAGATTAGGCAGAGCAGCTGAGCCTCCGGGCTAAATGCCTTACCTGTTTAAAAACGTAATGTTTTTATGTACAAATAAAAATGTAGGTCTTGATTTTAGTGAGTAGTGGGAGGCAGTTCAAAAGAGGGGTCAGGGTTGTGTTTGACAGATTGTACAGGCTTTCCGTTGATAAAAGTAGAATAAGGTGATTGCAAGGGGCCCCTGCAAAGAAGACTGCAGCTGTGAGGAATGTGAAGGTCATCGTGTGACACGGCACATAAACTTGGAGTGCTTGTGTTGATGTAGTTTTATGCATTTGCAGTAATTTGTCTTATTAGTGTCACATTTCAGTCTTTAGACGTGTTGTAGGGTAGAATACACTATTGTTTCAATATTGACTATGTGTGGATGTGGAGGTGGAGGAGGTGGGTCTGACCCTAAGACCCTCAAGAGGAGGAGAAAGGCAGGATATGTCTGCTCAACTAACAACTAAAGCAGATACTTGGCCTCGGCCCATCGCCTATTTGAACAAACCTTAAAGATACCGATTTGATTTATGTTTCATCTCACAGCACAACAAACCTGTAAAGTATTGGAGACAATCACCTGGAGCCTACCTGGAGAAACCTGGAAAAGATGCGGCAGCCTCACTGAATGACGTGAAGGGAAAGTCATGAGAACAAAAACTGATCCTTGTAACTATTGGCCTACTGTACAGTTTTTAGTTGTTTCCATCAGTGACTGGTTGAAATGTCTTTTACTGGCATGTGTCCTGTGTGACACTGTGTGTAGCAAAGGGTTGTGAAGTGGTGAAAAAAACTCTTAATATAGACACACTTCTTCAAACAACAATAACATGGAAACATGTTTAAAGAAGAAAAAGATTGCTGGGAATCATATACTTATTTTTATGGTTGTGAAAAGATATATAAAAACAAAGTATACTTTAAATAACCAGGTTGCAAATAAACCACAAACATCAAACAACAAATGAAATTAACAGCATTAAATAGATCTGGATCAATAACCAGGTTTAAAAACAGTTGAACACACAAACCAGTCAAACCTTTAAATACACTCGTGCTGCCACCTGCTGGTAGAGAAGGGAAACATTTCACTCAAACAACAGCCTTTAGAGTGGAAACCAAATTAAAAATCAGTGCTGACAGTAACAACTCTGCACACACAGAAATGACTGAGGTTAAACTATCTAAGTAACTGTGCTGCACCAACAATGCGCTCTTTAAACGGGACTCTTGCTGTGTACGTGAATAAATGCACAATATTAAAAATGTATTCAACTACGGTTGCTAACAATTTTCCCTTGGTTCCCAGTTTGTTTGGTGTTTCTTCTAATGTTATCCTGATATTGTGCTTTCATGATTAATATTATATCTATTTCTTTGAGCCATGCGAGTATCTGAAACAAAGAATTTCCCCTCTGGGATCAATAAAGTGTTCTGATTCTGATGATTCTGATAATGTTACAGCTGCTCTATAACTCCTGGCTTGTATTTTCATATATTTACTGGTATAAACCGGTTCTCTTGTTTTTTGATACAGTAACCGAGAGCGGAAATATGTTTTCTTTATTTTTGGTATAATGAACTGGACCCTTGATAATGTTGACTTCTTCCTTCTCCTTCTCGGACACAAGTTGTTCAGGTTGTTCACCTTCATCACAAAGGCCGCATGAGACTCCCTTGGTTCTACATATGCAGACAGAACAGATGCACTTTATTTATGAACTGATAAAACATGTTTAATCTATAATAACACATTCAAATCATATGATAATGTTCCATTAACTTCACAGATGTGGACGAGCTGATCGACCGCTTCAGGGTCTCCGCTTTATTCTTCAGTATGAAACAGCCTGTGCTGAGTCCTGATCGTGAAGAGACAAAAAAGAAAGCATTTACTCTGCAGCCGACTTACTCATGGTAGAAGCACAACCGCCAAAACTCTCTGCTTCTGTTAATGTCTCCTTTTGAGAAAATGTGCAGGGTCAGAGTTCACGACTTTCAGGTTGTAATTTCCAGAAAGAAAACATCAGAGCAAAGCTCCACACATTAGGCCGGTCGTCATGGGAGAATTTGCTCAGGGCGTCCGCAGCGTCTCTACAACAGAGGAACTAGGTTAAGCCAGTTTGCATCTGGAGATAAGGTGCTTGTATTATTCCACCTCTAAATTACTCACCAGGTGGTAGAACCCCTGGCAGTCACACGGCGAGTGGGCCACATGGATTATGAGGTTGTGCGTTCTGACAGGGGAGGAGACACAAATTTACCTCCTCAACCTCCTAAAAGCGAGGCGGAACGTGTTTTCCTGCTGACGACAGTTACGGAAAGGGACGAGTTGGGGCCTGAGGTTCCAAAGTCCATTAATCCAACCTCACTCCTTCTTGACCATCTCACACTGGCCCAGAGAGCCGATGATGCTGCAGCAGGCCAGGACACACAAATCTCATCACAATCACAATAATATTTGATTCAGTCCGACTTTCACAAGAACAAATGTCGTCTGTAGTGTTTTTGTAGTCCCCGTTTATTCAGCGCCTCTCGCTCCTGACTATTCACTGGATCAAACCACAGCGGTTCAACCCAGAGAGCGTCTGTGAACAGAGACAGATGTTACCACCTGAAGACAACCACCTGTTATCATGTGACTCAAGTGCCATACTGAGGGCGTGTGATGGCAACTAAGCCTGATCCATCGAAGTTTGAAGTTTGATTGGACAAAACAAGTGTTTAGATGACATCATCTTGGACTTTTCTCAACAGCGACAGGCGTGTTTTTAACATTTTATTTACAAAGAAAATACTAAATAAAACAGGCAGCAGCACTAAGTCAGCAGCGCTACAAATATTTAAGAATAAAAGTAAATTTAAGGTGGAATAAAAACCAAACTACATGAAAAAAACAGATGGTTTACAAACAAATAATCAGCTCATTTGTTTAAGGCGAGACACTGCGTGAAGTGAATAGGGTAGAAAATATTATGTCTAAATAAGCAAATGAGGCAGTATCTAATGAAATATGTGCTAATTTGCATCTAAATATGAACACTGGATTAATTCAGGTTCATCAACCCTGATAAATAAGTAAAAACATGTCTGAACAGACCGAGGGCCTCCTCGATGCTCCAGCCTGTGACCTGGAAATTGATCTCAGTGCATCTTGAAGAACATCTCAGTTCCTAAAATGCACCTCGAGGAGCAAGGAGGCACTTTGGGAAATGAGAAAGGCACCATATATAATGCACTCTGACCTCTGACGTTTCCCTCCTGGCTTTGACATCCAGAGTGTTACAGTATCGCTGACTCGTGGTAGTTACATCGAATGAAAGGGCTGCGGTAGCAAAGGGGTTCTTTGGTCCAAGCAATATTGATCACTAGTCATTGTATTGATCAATATTTCAATGTTTTAAGAACTTGATGTTATTTGTAACGTTTGTGTGGACAGAAACATGTAAACAGTAGATCTATAATACTAACATGAACACCTCCTGGGTATAATTTTATAAATTGTGTATTTGAGTTTCTTCATCAAATTTACAGTTCCAGTTGTAGTCCAGGTGTAGCAGGAGATATTCAGTTGCATTATAACCTGCAGGAGGAGGTTTTGATGGTGATAAATGGTAAAATATAGATTTTATACAAGGCGAGGATGGAAATCTCATATTTTCCTTTATTTAGTCTGTAATGGTAACATAAATATTAAAAATAAATATTGTTGCTGTGCACAGGGAATTTCGTGTTTTATTGCCCGTGGTTGGAAACGCTGCGGGAGGCTCCCCTGCCCCTGATTGCCACGCCACTCTACGGACCAGTATGGAGGTCCCAACATATGAGCACCTGAACCAAGCATTGTGTCTGTCTTTAAACGACGTGGAAGCACAAAGTATACTACTTCACTCACAATAAATGCAGTAAAGTCATATCAGTGTGCGCTAGCTTGTATTTGATTTTTGGTGACATAAATATCTTCACTTATTATGCACCAAGCCGAATGGTTGAGGAGTTATTCCTGATTCTTTTAGGGTGTGTTATTTTAGGTCTTTGTCCTGGAAATTGGGGGAAATTGCTGGTAGTTTAAGATAAAATGGTGCCTGATCATTAAGAGCTTTGTAGGTAAGTAGAAGGATTTTAAATTCTATTCTGGACTTTACAGGAAGCCAATGCAGAGAAGCTAAAACAGGAGAAATGTTGAGTGTGTGAAAAAGTAGTAGTATCAGGTGGAGACGCAGTGTGTTGTTGCAGACACTAGAGGGCAGCAGTGTGAAGGATTTGTTCTACACAGTAACAGCAGTACAGTAGTCGCAGCAGTATTAGTATTAATAGCAGTAGTAGTAGTATCAGGTGGAGACGCAGTGTGTTGTTGCAGACACTAGAGGGCAGCAGTGTGAAGGATTTGTTCTACACAGTAACAGCAGTACAGTAGTCGCAGCAGTATTAGTATTAATAGCAGTAGTAGTAGTATCAGGTGGAGACGCAGTGTGTTGTTGCAGACACTAGAGGGCAGCAGTGTGAAGGATTTGTTCTACACAGTAACAGCAGTACAGTAGTCGCAGCAGTATTAGTATTAATAGCAGTAGTAGTAGTATCAGGTGGAGACGCAG